TATTATTGTAGGATCTACTGTACAATATAAAGCGCCTTGAGGCGACTGTTGTTGTGATTTGGCGCTGCATAAATAAATTTGAATTGAATTGAATTAAGCTACCCTTCATAACCGGACGAGTAAATGGTGGATAGAAAGTAATTATGTACTTACATGATGGATGCAGGTTGCTGATGAACTACAAGGATAAGTTACTTTAGTTGTTGTTAAACTGAAGTGTTAAGCAGTTATTTTATACTTTTAGTGCAAGTTTTCAAGGAAACCAATACCTAGACTACTTTTGTGCTTACATTTGGCTTATAGTATATTGCGTCATGGATATAATATCATATGTAAGATTAAAACAATAATCAATGGTAAGACTTTGAGCAGTAATGAAGGAGTGGTCTCTAACAGACACGTTGATGGTTTGGAGGAAATGATTACTGAAGTTAAATCAGAATCAGTATCAATCAGGCGGAAACAAAATTAGTATCAATAGTATAGATAGTATGTGTGATGTTTATGAGTCATTTCTTTCGCAACTGTTAAAACCTCTGAAGAAATTCATGACGTCATTTAGTTAAGTTCCAACAGAGCTCTGACTCTTGGCCAGCATGGCTTCAGTGCTAGAGAGAAAGGTTTTTCTTATTTTTTTCAATCAGTGAGGAGTAGTACGGCTTCTTAGCTTCACAGTTGGCTTTTTTATAGAGCAACAAAAGCTTTTTTCCACAAAATAAAGATCTTCTAAATTAGTGAGATGTAATTTTTTACGCGTTACTTATGGGTTATCTACTTTAAGGTTCACGTTGAGACTCTAAAACTACCCTAGCCCTCTGATGCATAGTGGTCACTGGAGTGGACAGCTACTAAAACGTACATATCTCTTTAATGCATTGGTTTCTATGGTGGAACTGCATATTAGCCTCTAGGCGTGCTCTCTGCTGCCATGCTCCATTGAGGTCAATTCAATGTTCAGTTAGTGCAACTGCAAGTAAATTTCCTCTTAATCAAAGATGGCAGACAAACTGTCACCCCTGCCGACCTCTGCTGGCATATCCTGTCAATCCTTCTATGCTAAAAGAGCCCAACAGGTAAAAAAAATATGATGATATGCAGTAACATCTAGGGAAGGATATTATCTGTTTGGAATAAGAAATTGTTATGTCTAATATATAGAAAACTATGATGAACCATGTGTCCAATGAAGTGGACATCATGCATTACCCACTATATTTTTTTTTTCTGTTTTGGTTATGAGTAAGCATATAATTGTTACATTTATAAGCTACTCATTTAAAATATATATTTTTGTGCAGATCAGCTGTAGTTTGAGTTACTATAATAATTATTTTATCATATTTTGTAGACTTCAAATGCAGCAAAGAATAAGGCAGCGTAAAGAATAGTCCAGGAAATTCCATCCAGCTCCAGTGATGATGATTTCATTGATGAGTGCAGTGATGAGGAGTTCAGTGATAAGTCCAGTGATGATGAGAGTGGCTGCCAGAGCAGAACAGAGACATAGGAGCTACGGATGATGAAGACACAAACAGTCAGGATGCAGAAAGTGAGAACGATGAGGGGCAGGATGAAGAGGAAGGTCAGCATGATCAGGGAGCTGTGGGAGATGGGTACATGGCACCTGACCATACTCAAGCCCGCAAAAATATTTGGAAAGTCCAAGACAATGACTTTGATGGAGACTTGCCTCCTTTTCTAGGAGAGTGGAAATTGAATGTGGAGGGGAAGAATCCCATAGATTTCTTCAGACATCTGTTTCCAGCAGATCTAATTGATAATATAACATACAACACCAACTTGTATGGGAAAGAACTGTCAGTAACAGGAGAAGAGATTCACCCTCCAAAAATGCAAAAGAGGAAGACCCAGTGGGACCCCACAACCCGTGAAGCGGAGAGCAGTCACCAAAGTAGCCTGTGAGGTCAGGTTTGCCACAGGATATCACTGGCCCCAACTGACCGAGGTGAAAAAATGCAAACAGATGCCATGATGTTGCGTGCACACGGAAGACCAAATACATCTGCATGCAATGCTGTGTGCCATTGTGCCCTGGATGCTTTGCAAACATTCGCACAGCCTAGCTGTGATGAACATAGAAGTGTTCGGAGATGCAGAGACTAAGATGTCAGTTTGTGTTTTCTTCCAGCATGCTAATAAGGGCTTGGTAATACTGTCCTGCATCGTTATAGAACTGTGTAGACTCAAAAATGTTTCTCTTGTTGGAGATAGTTTGCCATATTCAGGTGTAGGATTCACAGCTCTGTTGATTGGTTTTGTTATTTACGTCTAAACATTGGGGCCTTATGAGTTGAAAGTTCCAAAAAAATTGCTGAGATGTTTTTCAAAGGATACAAGCAAACAAGTGTTTGTATATTTACAATAGAACACAAGGTAATTAGTTTTTACAGTAAATTCACAGCATTTCATGCTAAGTGCTCGGGCGCATGTAGTCCACTGGAGTGGACAAGTTTCTAACTTTATAAAAAAACTTATTTTGGGGGAAAAAAGAGTTGGACATTTTTTTTCATGTCCTGAGAAGAATAAAAGCACTTAAGAAAAAAAGCTTGACCAAGGCTTTCATAATTCATGCATCAGAGGGCTAGACAGGTAAAGCCGTCTGGTGCTGGTTTAGCTCAGTGGTTGAGCTGGTAACCATATGTTACATGGCCTGAGTGGAGCAATGCAGGATTGAGTCTGACCTGCAGCCCTTTGCTGCATGGCTTTTCCATCTCTTAATAATAATACATTTTATTTAAAGGTGCCTTTTAAAATACCCAAGGACACTATACAGAACAAATGAGACAGGCATAAAAACAGGAAATAAACACACTCTTGCTCTACAGCAGGTATTTTTCAGAGTTTTATGCTACATGCCCTTCCTGATGCAACCAAGGGAAATTTGAATCGCTGGCTTAAATTAAACTAAAAACCTTTCACTTACAAGGAAATATCTAAACCACTGCAGTATGGAGCCATTAGAAAGATCAAGTCGTATACAGATGAAAATACATAAATTACAATATTTTATAACATTGTAAAAGAGTGAAAACTCTTGTCACTTCATACCTGGCCTGCTGGATGCCCCCCACCCATTCATTGCAGTCCAACTCATCCTCTGTTCGCATCTCTAGAGGTTTCTGCCCATCGTGGCCAAAATTGACCATGAAGTAGTACTATGTGAAAGAAAAGAGACAAAAAGTAATGTGACTTCATGCTTGGAAAAAAGAGCTCTAATCTTAGGTCAGAGTATTTTTTTCAACAGGTTTATTCAGGCTTACAATCTAGACAATGACAGAATTATTATATGTTTTTAACTCAAGTTTAATGAAACTACATTAATGTATGTGTGCAACATACAGTCCAAATCAAAAGATTAAGACCACTTGAAAAATGGAAAAAGAAATACTATTTTGCGTGATTGGATCTTAACAAAGTTCCAAGTAGAGCTTCAACATGCAACAAGAAGAAATGGGAGTGAGACACCGACACGCTTTTAATTTCCCTTTTTAATTTCACTTGTCTCGTGAATTCTTGCTTGATGTCATTTTTTGTTGCTATTATCTTTTGTTTGTTAAAGGTCTAGTGTTGGACACATAAATAATTCAGTGACAAGGCCAGGAAACAGTCCAGATTTCAATCCAGCTGAAACTCTATGGTGGAAATCGAAAGAAATTGTCTTTGACAAGAGTCCTATAAAGTTGATCTCTCAAAAGAGAAAACTAGAACCAGCTTAAATATTATTTTTTATCAGTAAGTAAATGCCTCAAAAAGCCACTTTCCTTGTATGTCTCAAAAATTAGAGTTTTTGTGTCAAATCTGTTATTTGTTTATTGGCTACAAAGTACAAAAGATGAATGAACATCCTCCAGCTGCGGTGATAAATTCCATAATTTAAGCCAATTGTTATACACCTTTTATACACGGACTAATGAAAATAACTGTTGGCTGCAGCCCTAAGGAACATCCACACTTGGTTCACATTTTCATATTCAGCTTCCTCGTCAGAGTTCTTGCCCCAAGTAACAGCACAGAGAGCACAAGTAACACTAAAATAGCACACAGAAAACAGACCTGCTTCCTCATGAGTGGAGGTGATAATTGGAAGAGTACAAGGACTCCACTTCAAAATGAGAATTAGTGCAAATAATACGAAGTACATACAGATGCACTTACGCACATGCATCTGTAAAGATGAGGACAAAATGATTAGTATCCTCCTAAGACCTGAACGCTTCCACAGCATGCATTTTTAATTTTACTTTGCTATTTGGGCTGATTGGCACCTGATGAATGTAAAAACAAAGAATTACCACTTCTTTTTTTTAACCTAATTTTTCTTTCTAATAAAAATGAGATCTACATATGAGGACATTCGTTTTAAATTTTGATAGAACAGTGGCAGTATAATGTCCTCGTAAGTGGATATCAGGCCCTTGTAGAGAAAAATTAAGTATTTTGGTCTGGACATTCCAAAATGTCCACATCCCAATAGGAGGGTATTACCCCTAGTTTTGTCAAAATTTTCAACAAGGGCAATTCTAAACATACTAGTTTTCTTTAAAGTATTCTTATTATTGTTATTATTATTATTTCAGAAAAAAATTACTAGGGTCAACATTTTTAGCCCATGAAAATCTTTTCTGTGCAATGATGTTCTTTAGCTTGGTTATCTCCACACACAGTGTAAAACTTCAGCAAGAGTTGTCACTTAAGAAAGCCACACAGTACAGAACTCTCCTGGAAGAGGTTTGGAGTAAAAGATTGCAAAGAATCAGGAAAGAAAACTAGAGAAAAATGTGTCTTAAGACCCTTAGAACAACTCCCAAGACTCGAGCAAATGAATGAGAAAGTCGGGAATTGTGTTCTCAAAGAAGACAATCCCTAGAAACCTACACAGGAATGGCTGCACAGAACAGAAAACTACACTTCAAAAGTATTTCTTATCCATTTACTAGATGCCTATGTTCAAATTATGTGATTTTCACAAAGGCGTTGATAAGGCTTGTACTTCTAGAGACAGGCAAAGATAAAGTTGTAAAATTATACCATGACACCAATGAGTACTTTTCATGAACATGGGCGTAATTTTCACTGGCAGCATGGTGGCACGGTGGTTAGCACCTTTGCCACACAGCAAGAAGGTCCTGAGTTCAATTCCACCATCAGGTCTTTCTGTGTGGAGTTTGCATGTTCTCCCCGTGTTTGCGTGGGTTCCCTCCGGGTACTCTCCCACCGTCCAAAGACATGCGGCTTGTGGGGATAGGTTGATTGGATAATCCAAATTGTCACTAGGTGTGAATGGTTGTCTGTCCCTGTGTGTTGGCCCTGTGACAGACTGGCGACCTGTCCAGGGTGTACCCTGCCTCTCGCCCTATAATAGCTGGGATAGGCTCCAATGCCCCCTGTGACCCTGAAAAGGAGAAGCGGATGGATGAATGGACCTCGTGTCCACATATACGGACATCACATTTTTGGTTATTTAGACCCGAATACTCAATTTTGCTCTACAAGGGCCTGATATCCACTTACGAGGACATTATACTGCTACTGTTCTATCAAAATTTTAAACGAATATCCTCATATGTGGATGTCATTTTTCTTAGAAACAAAAAGTGGGTAAAAGAAAAAATCTGGTAATTCTTTGTTTTTACATTCATTGGGCCCCAATCAGCCCAAATATCAAAGAGAAATTAAAAATGCATGCTGTGGAAGAGTTCGGGTCTTAGGAGGTTAAATAAAATATGAAGTAGAAAAATGCAAATATAAAAACAAAGCCAGCTGTGTTAAAGCAAAACTATATCAAGCTAAATCGTTTCAAGGCTGAATAAGCTAATCATAAACCCACTTCAACTTCTGGTTTTTAGTCATTTTACTTAGTGCTATTTAGTGCTTCTGCAGCAATTGTGGCAGCCAGCATGACTGCCGAGGACACTCAGCAGATGAACCTGTGCATGTAAAATCTTTAAAATTTAAAAAAAAACAAAAACGGTCATTGTAGCGGGGCGTGGCCTGTGGTGCCGTGCTCTTGGGTGCAGGGAAGGCAGACGCACCTGCAAGGCATCCACAATCATGCCCCGCCATCTTAAATATGGGACTGCGTCCTGACTCGGGGTTGGTGGTGTTGATGTGGATGTGCACAAAACAATAAAAATGTACAGAACACAACTGGGTCCGCCGTGGATGTTCACAGTGGTGCCAAAACCCAGGACGGGAGGCACGGCAGACCCAGGACTGGGCCAGAAGAATGAGGAGCTGGCCAGAATGGTGGCCGAGCTGGCGGCCACGCAGCAGGAGCAGGTGGTGGTGGTAGCACGCCGTTGGCAGGAAGAGGGGCTAGGGATGCCAACTGTCCGGGCCGATTCTCTCTCCCGCTCGCGGGGGGAGGGGAGCAGGATCAGCCGGATGGCTCCCTGGCCTGGCGATGGGGGTATGTGCCGGGGCGTGGCCTGTGGTGCTGTGCAGGGAAGGTGGACGCACCTGCGCGGCTTCCACAATCATGCCTCGCCATCTTAAATATGGGACTGGGTCCTGACTGGGTTGGTGGTGTTGATGTGCACAGAACAATAAAAATGTACAGTACACAACTGGGTCATGTTCACAGTCATTCATTTGTTTGTGAAGCTAGTTTTACAGCAAGGTCTTAATGGAAAATTTCAAAAATAAATAGAAATTTGTTAAGGATTCTGTGAGCTCACAATCAACTATCCTGTGAGGTCGCTGGCTGAGCCCCTTCTGCATTTAGAGAAAATGTCTCCAGGTTTTCTCCCACTTTGCCTCTGCAATCTAAGGCTGAGATCTTTGCAGTTTTAGAACTCTGATCACATTTTTCTGAGTATAATCTGGATGTATGATTATAATTATGCACAGGGTTTTTGCTGATTTTTTCTTTACATTAGCATTAGCTGGCCATCCAGTTGATATAGATTGCTGCTGCCTCTGCGGTAAAAGACTGCCTAACTTCTCATTTTAAAGTCAATTTGTTCTCTTTTTGTGTCGTTTCTGAAGACAACAATACCACCATTGACTCCTAAGCTTATGAATATGCTGTAATATTTAAGCTCAGTAGGGACTTCTACTTATACATATTGCAGGCTAAATCTATTTTTTACAAGTACTTATCGTATTTAAGTTCACTGGGGTATTTGACAAGGGTATACATAATTTAGCAAAGACACAAATACAAATCCTGACTCCACCTGTTCCACTTTATGCATGAATACAAGATTCTAATCCCTTTAAATCATAGTGAAAATCCATCCCATATCACATTTTCAAATTTCATATTTTATTTACAAGTTTGTTTGTTTTTTAAAAATGCACTAAGTAAAGTATGACAGGAATGAGCCCATCATCAAATACTCAAAAAGCAGTCACCAGTAACTCAATGCATGTTTTAGTCCCTTTTTTTTTTTTTTTTTTCATTTGTCATATCGTTGTCCCTTCAGCTGTTTGCTAAACCATACTAATGAGGTTAGCACATGTAACAAGGAACAGCAGTTCATCAAGACTTGGATTTCATAATACACCAAACTCCTTTGCATGGCAGTTTTAGGAGTACTTATCCATTTAAAAGCAAAAGACACACAAAAATAACCTTACAGTAACCTGAAAACTTTAGCATGTGTCTAACTACCTTAGCTAAACCCTGTATTTCAACATTTCACATAAAATAACTTGTATTGTTGCATTTGTCATAAAAAAATAATTAAAACTGAGCTTTAACACACACCCCTGTGTTATATTTTACGGTCTTACCAAGGTTCTGTTAGGATGCCTGGGTCGTCGACCCAGGGTTTTTGAGTTTATGATATTATTTATACTGTCTAGTTTTTGGTTTCTTTGAGTTCTGTCTTTTGGCTTAGGTCTCTGTCTTCTTTAGTTGCTCTGTCTCCCCTATCACCCGCATCCCCTTGTCTAGTTCGCGTCTATGTGTATCTTAAGTTCCTATATCCCCGTGTTCAGTCAGTGTCTGTGTCTGCCCTGTTCCCACGTCTCTGTTCCCTTTGTAGTGCCTGCTTATGAGCCTGTGTCTTTGTTCAGTCTGTGTTATGTGTTTCCTGTTTTACTTTGAAAGTCCATGTCTGATGTTAATGTGTCTGGTTTTGCTTCCTCTTGTCTCGTTAGGCCTGATTTGCCCCAGCTGTGTTTCCCTCCTGTTACCCATTCCCTGATTGCTCCCTCTGTGTATTTAAGCCCTGTGTTTCTTAGTGTCTGTGTCGCGATCTACCGTTTACGTTGCTGTGTGTTTTGCCTGTCCACCGGTGTAAGTTTATTTTGAGTTTTTTCCAGTTATGTCATGTTTGCGTTCAGCATTAAAGCTGTTTTTGTTTAAGTTCTGTCTCCGGAGTCTGCACCTTGGGTCCTATTCCTGCCTGCACACAGCCGCACCTAACAGGTTCCACACTGGTAAGCTCATAAACATAAGGGACCCTACGGGCTCAGGAGAAAAAAAAATACAACAAAACGTTAAAAAAAGAATTATCCAGGAGTGACACAAACTTTCAATAGGCAATATGTTAAAAGTAGAAACTGCAGAGGTGCATTCACATGACAAACTCTGTTTTTTATTTAATTGAATTCAAAATAAATTGCTGTTTTTTCTCAAGGACAACTTAACCCAATACGACTGCAGAAATTTGTACATGGTTATGCACTAATTTTCCAGGAAAATTACTATTTTATTAATTCAGAGAAATACGATAGATTTTCTCTGAGGTCAGGCAGTAGAGATCATCTACCAATCCGGAGGTAGGAGATGAATCTCTGGCTCCTCCAGCCCATACATGGGTATGTTACTAAACTGAGTTGTATTTAAGTCATTATAGTCTGTATTTGCCAAACATTAAGTCCTTAACAAAGTCACAACCCTCTAATCCATGAGATATGGGTCAAATAAACATATAAATTACTTGCTGAATATCAGTTTTTTCCTTTCCTATGTCTGACAATATAGTTTGCTAAAAGGGTGCCACAGAGAGAAAGCAGGTCTGTATAGTAATGATGTAACAAAAAGCGGGTGAGGGACACTTGCTAGCATGTGTCGGCTACAGACCAGAGAGGCTTAAGGGCTTGTTTGTGTGCGTTGGGGGGTAGGGTGGGGGTTACATAACCATCAAGGCTTGTGCAGCATCCTTGCATTGCTAATGCGGCTTCCCCGGTCACAAGCCTGCTTTAAGCACAAGGATAACAATAAGTGAGACGAACAGACGGACAGGGACAGACAGAGTGAGAAATGGGGAGCTGTAAGCTGCCTTGCCCTGCATCGAGCATCACCGCGTTCACTCACAAAAAAACACTTCATCAGTCTGCTATGCACAGATGCAAACATGAGAGCTCCCGCTTACAGCCAGGACCACTTTCAACACGACCTGACCTGCAGGACAATGGTGCTGTATTACTTCCTTCGTCTCTCTTTCACTCACAGAGCACTGAGGACATAAGCTGCGGTCTGGGCTACTTTTTATACTATGCAATACATATTTGTGTGGTTTTCACAACAGTTATTTTCATTACTGAATCATTGTCTTTAAATTATATAAAAAATATAATAGACATTAACTATATTATTAGGATGTCATTAAAATCTGTTTTTCAAAGATAATATCATCTGTGTATAAAGAGTATAAATAGTTTTATTTAATGTGTAATTAAATAAAATGTCAATAAAATGTCAAGGTAATTACAAAAACACCTTTGGGACTGAGAAATTCACATGTACCCCACTCAATTCATTATTAAAAAGTGTTGAAAGGAAGATGAAGCAGTGTGCTTGTGTCACACATGGAAGATTAAAGTAAATATTTAGTTGATCTGAGCTAAGGTAACTTCTTGTCTCATTTTTTGGCTAACATTTCAGCTGTCCCAGGTTGTAATAAGTAGCTGCTGTTTGTGAAGAGAGGCCTTCGTTAGTTAGAAAAGTGATTCATAAGCACTAATTCTAATAATAAGTCAGGTAAAGTGGTTATAAACTGGAAACCGATCTCAGTGTTTAAACACTCACAGAAATAAAACACAACACAGTGTTTTTGTGACATTTAGCTTGTTTCTGAACTTAAACTGACATGAACAGGAGTTAGGAGTTATGATTACTAAACTCACTAATGCAACAATTATGAATGCTCAGAAAACTAGAAAAAGGGAATATTTGATGATTTGTATTAAAAAAGACTACTAAAAAACTTGATCTCATGTTATTGCACTTTTTAATGCTATTAAATTAGCAAAAATGCACACTCATTAAATGATCAACCTACATTGTGGTTGTAAAAATAGATTTTATTAAAGCTCAGTTACAAACAGTTTCTCTATTCCCGAATGTCTGTCAGTATGAGTGGATCTCCCTAATATGGTCCACACAGTGCACAAAAGGCCCACTTTCCATTTCTAAGAAGCAGCCAATCAAAAAAGGCAAGAGGAAAAGAAGAGTTGCGGGGCAGCACCCAAGCTTTGGTTATTTTGAACTCTGAATCATCCAAAGCTACCTTACTAGAATCCAAGAATAAAAATATTGAGGTAGAAATAAGCATTACAGATCAAGCATTATGATCAAACACAGGATTTACATCACAACTTCACTGTGCAAACACATACCAAGGAAGACTGTGCCATATTTAAAATACGTACATTGTTTTGGACTTTTTCACTTAACTTATTTTGAAGAAATTACACTAGGTTTTGTTGTTATTTGGTTACACGTGTACCATACTCATAGAAAGGCAGTAGAGTACAGTAAAAGGTAGTCTCCCAATAGCACAGGTAGCACTAGTGCGTAGCAGCATCCATGTGTGAGATGCAGTTGTGTTGACTTGGTATTCAGACAGTGACTGCAGGCAAAACAACGAGCAAGGATGCTATTCTTAGTCTAGCACAGCATCATCCTAGAGCAGTACCACATGTCGAATACAAACTCACAAACAGAAAGTATTACATATTCACAGCAGAATCAATTTTCATTATTTAAAAACACACTAGTGTGATTTTTCACATTTAGCCTTTAGCCTCAGTTAAATATCCTTTCAAGAAAACGTCCATATTTTCATATCTCTGATTGTGTAACGTCAAACTTACTGTATGTCCCATTTCACCAACTACCAACTTCATCACTATGGAAACACATCAGTCAAGTGGCACATAGGTGAGGCTATAATGGGCAGCAGCATTAGCATTAAGCATGGTGAGAAGGGGGAAGAAAAAAAAGATCTTTTAGTTGCTTTATATTTTCCTACTACTAACTATAGTACAAACGGTTTTAGCAATTATTTTAATATTACTCGACAGTTCATTTTAGCCTCTTTCAGCTCATTGTTCTGATTTATAGATAAATTGGTGATTCTAAATTGCCCACGAGTGCGCATGGTCTCTGTGTTAGCCCTGCAACCGACTGGCCACCTCTCCACGGTGTATCCTGTATGTGGCAGGAGTATCAATAGTATCAAATAGTATTTAAATAGTGACAGAATTATTTTACTAACTAAAACTGCTATACATAATACCTTCTGAATTCCTGCTAGAGTTTTGGGAGGGAAAATAAAGAAACGCTGAGCAAGACTCATGACACCGTGTATGTGTGGTGAGGACTTTTTAAAGGGACTCAAGAAAGACAGAAATGAAAGAGCAAAGAAAATTGACGGTTTTTCACGCTAAAAGCACGTTTACCGTGGGACGCACCTGCTGCTTCTCAATAGCATCCTTGCTGATGGCGGACACTTTGGACGCCGGTGCCCTCTCGCATGTGCATCCCTCCAGCAGGTATATACCTGAGGGCCGTGCGCTCTGGTCGTTCTCGAAGTAGAAGAGCACATTCTGGTAGAGGGCGAAGTACTTCTCAGCCCAGCGACTGTTCTCTGTGGTCTTCTTGCTCAGGTAGCCGCGCTTGGTCCCCTCTTTGCGCGCAACCACTGACAGATACAGAGCGTGGCCCTCATTGTACCGCACGCTCTTCTGCATTATGTTTACACTGAGTCCTGTCCTTATTTTGGTTCCAACTTCAAAGAGCAAACATATGTATCACATCACGCATCCTCGATATCGCTATCGTTATCTCTACCGGATGGATACTGAAGAGAAAGTGGTTAACATCTCATCTGCAGAAAAAGGTAATCCAGGTTTACCATGGCATAAAAAGTTGGAGAGTGCATCACTCTTACCAGACTGTCAAATACACGCTCCAGTGTCAGCTGAACCGTTGAAAAGCAGCACCGCTTCAACACATCTCCATGCTGCAAAGTTCGGACATGACCTAGAAAGCCAGTGTGTTTCTGTCCTGGTGGTTAAAAAAATGAGGAAAACGACGGAGTGTGTAGTACCGCCAACAACAGCACACAGAAATAGACTCAGTGAACAGACGGTGAAAACAGAATCACGACGGACATCAGCGCTAATCGGCTTTGACATCAACTTAGATCGCCGCAGCCCGCGCGCTGCTCTCTGAGCGCGGAGCCTCGCAGGAGTTCCATTTAAGCAGCGCAAACCAAAGTGCACCAAAGTTTACACACCCACAGTTTTACACAGCACACGTTTCGCTGTGAAAAAACAAAAAAAAGAAGTCCCTGCTGAGGAGGGCTGGTTCCCGCTTTGCTCAGGTCCAGTTTGTTGGTTCTCTCAGGTGGATAGTGATATTTTTCATGAAATCTGCCCCAGGTTTGGTATAAAATTGTTCGCAGGTTTGTTGACATCAAACTTGGGGATTTTTTTTTACTCAGCAGTTTGGATCTTGGTGCCCATATTAAACCAGATAAATCTTGTAGCCTACTTTTTTCTCCAAATGCCTCTTTTTGGTTTTTGATGACCAAAAGCAAGCAATTTTATCAAAACAAGAGACCAAAGTATATGTAAGGTGTATTGCTATTAAGTGTGTGTGTGTGTGTGTGTGTGTGTGTGTGTGTGTGTGTGTGTGTGTGTGTGTGTGTGTGTGTGTGTGTGTGTGTGTTGGGGGGGAGGTGGAGGTCCGTTACCAGCTATTTCAGCCTAATTTTGTTACATTTACATGAGCATTATTCCCTGACCTCTGAAATCAGCAAGGAACCTAGAGTTGGTTGTGTAACAAAAATTCCAGCAGATCAACCGTTTCAAACCAGGCTGTATTGGGGTTTTTGAGACAAACAGCACACGTTAAAAACCCATGTCAGTTTGAACTTCAGTTCATTTTGACCATGTCTGTGGTTCCTATACCTAAACTGGTGCCATGTGTGGCTGATTGATGTTTATGTTAGGGAGCAGTTGATCAGGTATACCTAACAAAGTGGCCAGAGAAATGGATATGTGCAAATCACAATAGCATGATAAACAACTCTGGTGATTTATTTAAACTTAGTCATGTGGCTCTATGAGTAATGTTAATTGCAGTCCTCCAAAACATTTGGTGAAATTTGTTCCATGAAATAACAAGTATTGCAGTGACTTTTCAAAGGTCTGACTGATAGTCTGACTGATATACATTTCAGACTCCAAATCACCTAAATCAAAAGCAAACCTACTTACTTATTTCTCAGATTATTTCTTTTACAAAATAAGTTGTTATACTAAGTGATGTCTAAGCATAAGTGTATTTGTATCAAGATTTGACCTTTAAAATCAACATATCACTTTGAGCACTTGTGTTCTCAAGGAGTCTTAAAATATAACAAAATAAATATTTATCACTCTTATGGTAGTTCCCTTTAGAGTAGATATGCCTTCAGCACTAATAAGTGTGTGTGTGTCTCTGTGTGTCCATTTCTAACACACATTTGTAAGGTGGACAAAAGCAGAAGTTTCTATTTTTATAAAGTGGTTATTTGCATCAAAAGATGGCTGTTGAAAGTCCCATCCAGTCTGAAACAGATGTTGTAATGCTTTAGTAGTCAGTGACTGACGGAGTTAAGGTGCCACAGACTTTGCATTTCACTTGTGTGCGTAGATCTCTGTTCAAAACCTCTTAGGAAACCTCTTCTTTATGTCAGACTGCCAAAAAGTAAAAAGCAGTTCCTGTATTTTATTTTTTTATTTCTTTTATTTAGGATAGTTTTGTAAGCACACTGTATAATTTCAGCTAGCTCTTGTCTATTTTTTATTTTTATTTCATCCATCTTCTTCTGGTTTCAGGGGTGCTGGTGCCATGGGGCAAGAGGCAGGGTACACCCTGGACAGGGCTAACACAGAGAGACAGACAACCATTCGCACTAACATTCATATCTAAACCCAATTTAAAATCACAAATTTACCTTACTCCACTATCTGCATATCTCAGGACTGTGGAAGCAGTCACAGTACCTGTAGAGAACCCACACAGACATAAAAAGAACATGCAAACTCCATGCAGAAAGGCCCACCAGAAAAGAAAGAAAGAAAGAAAGGCCCCAGTCAGATTGTAAATTTGGACCCAAGACATAGTTGCTATAAGGGAAAAGTGCCAAACACTGCACCACCTCCGCCCTTGTTGGATTTGTTTGTTAGTTTAAAGTTAAAGTTTAAAGTTAAGTTAAATAATATACTTTTTATACCTAGTTTTAGTTTAATCATCTATGTCTACTTTCAGTTATTACAGATTATTTTATCAAAAGGCACAGTGAAACAGAGCCAATGCCTGTGTAATCTGTTAGGCAGCTTAGTATCAGTTACCATGATGAAGTCTAACTCCACTCCACTCTGCATTGACCTGTTAAAAAGGTTATATTCTGAGAGGGGTCAAAATAGTACTGTAAAATAATAGAAATTTGAATAACATCATGGAGCAGCTATGGTTAGCACTGTTGCCTAACAGCAAGGTCCTGACTTCAATTTTACCATCAGATCAGGGACTTTCTATGTGAAGTTTGCATGTTCTCCCATGGTCCCCGTGTTCTCTCTGGGTACTTCAGCTTCCTCCCACAGTCCAAAGACATGGAGTGGGGGGGAGGTGAGGTTAGGTTAATTGATAATTCTAAATCGTCCATAGGTGTGAGTGTGAAAAGTAGAAAAACACTGCCACTGTTTGATTTTTTTTATTAAAAATCTAATTTAATCCATATTTGTTCTATTAAAATTACATACAACCCACATAAACTGTCAGCAAGACTCTGTTCAAGGTGCTTTATATTATAAATCTAAGATCTTACAATATTAGAAAGAAACTCCCTCAAGCACATGGAACCCCACAACCAAGCTACTGGCAATAGAGTGAATGAAAAACTCCCCTTTAACAAAGAAAAAATCTCAGGCAGAAGCAGCCTCACGAAGGGGCGGCCATTCCCCGTGAGGGGAAAGAGAGAGAGAGCAGAAAGAAACAGGACAAAAGACACACTATGGAAGAAATAGCTTAGTTTAATAGTTTAATAAGTATTTATGATGTTTAATAAGTATTTATGATTAAATATAGTAGAGGTTTATAAATACATAGAAGCAAAAAGAAATGAATGAAAAAGAAACAGTATATCATGGGAGGCCTCCCAACAGCCTAAGCTCAATGCAGCATAACTGAGTGAGGGTTTTGAAAATTCTAGTAACCACAAGTAAACCTACAATGTGAGAATGAAGTCTTCTTTTTGGATAGTAAGATACTACAAGGTCTTTAAGATATAATGGGTCCTGATTATTCAAGATATAGTATATGAGGAGATGGATTGTAAATGCAGTTCTGAATGAAGCCAATAATGAGAAGCTAATAAGGGAAAAATGTAACTGGAAAAACTGTAGAAAGTATTTTCTATGTATTTGCACCTGTGTGTGTATGTGTTTGTGTAATTTCTCCTAGTTGTATTGCCTTTTAACTCTTCCTTAAATCTAAGTTTATAATGATCAACTGGTAATGCTGAAGTGTTTTAGTAAGCACTTTGTAAGCACATTCTTTTCCCCCTAAAAAGGTAAAAAGTGAGAATTAATGAATGTGTTAAGACTGAAAGTAAGGCATTGATATTGCACATACATAATCCCCGCTTTTGTAAACAGCCGACTATGAAGTCCTGGTGAGCTAGCCCATTAACTCCTGAGGTAGATTAACCTCATCCTGTCATGTCTGATCAGTTTCAGAGCATTAAAAGGCCACATCTGACTACTGTGTCCACAGGCAGACAGTGGCAATGCTGACAATTGGGGGAAAAAAGTCCCTTTGCAGCTTAATATCATGAGCAGAGCTACAAGGGGAGGAGCAAATAGGCAAACAAACCCTGTGAGGTTAAAGGAGTGGACAAGGACATGTTGCATCAGCGCCTGCCGTTAGACACATAGTGCTCAGTTTAAATTGTATTTAGCTTGGAGGGGAATACTGCTTATTCTGAGAATTTGTAAGCTTAAAAGCAGTATAATCATCACACCAACTGTCAGCACACACCTTTATTATACACTGTAGCAGTATGCTGTAATAAATGTACAATTTTGAATGTACATCAGTGAAGCTTTTCCTCTACTAAATGGCTAAGAACCTGTATCATTTAGAATAAAAAGCTAAACATTATACAGCAAAGACTATATGGGCAAGCGAACAAATTATTTTTATGCACTGTGGGTACCTTAATAACTAACAAATGTACTGAAAGTGTTCTTTTATCTTTACACAACATCTGCTGTTGGATAATTCATATTGTACATTGTTTACACCTTCCATCAGCAAAGGAGAGTGAAACAGGTAGCAAGACTGTATAATCCATTGCATGTCTCTTTGTGTTCATGTACAATGTAAACAGAGGCATTTATGTACTCATAAAGACAAGGTTTTACAGCGTTATCTTAAAATAATAAAACAGTAATAATTGTTTACTTTTATTATGGCTGTTTTGTTTGGGGGTTTATGCATGGAAGTTGTTCATTGTTAGAAAAGAGGTACTTTATTACACATCTAACAGATGTCTAGAGTTCAGAGGTGGGTTTTTGTAGTGATGATAATAATGATGATGGCAAACAGAAAAAAATAAAGCTGTTAAAGTGCTGTTAAAATAGTCTTCACCACAAGTAACTCTCTTTTTAATTTCTCTTTTGAAGTTATGAAAACTGTTGAGTATGTATACAGAGCCATGTGTAGGCTCATTTGTGGTAAAAATTTGTCAGCCAAAATTATTTCTTAATTTCAGCTTTCCCTTCATCAAAACTGTAAGAGCACTGTGAAGACCCTCTGCATGCACCTCCTTCACTAAATCCATAAATTTTCTGTGTGCCGTTCCTTCTTTCCTTCTGCCTGTCAAAATAAAGTAAAATGTTTTTTACATTTTAGGCAGTAAAATAGATGAAGTACTTTAGCATTTTAAACTGAATCTTGTTTTATTTGTTGTGCAAGCAGTATTGCATGGTGGGTGGTCCTTAGTGGGGCCATGCAGAGTTTTAATACTCTCTGTAGATCTCCATCTGACAACTTTAGATATAGCCAGCAAAGGATTAAGGAGGATTACTATTTACTACATGCCTACCACTATGCCTGAAACATATACTATACATCTCTAAACATTACTGACCATAATCTGTATCCATATGTTATTGGGGAAAAGTGTAATAGCTTCCAGTTTTGCAGAATATATATTACTGTTTTCTTATTTCATAGCTAAACTTAGCACAAAAGTTAGGAAATTTATGCTTGATCAATGTATTAAGTGTTGTAACAGTGCTTCTTGGCAATAAATCATATACTGTTGGAAAGCCTGTTTACTTTCGTTTAAATGGTGCCACATTTGTAATGA